TGAGGCTCTAAACTACCATAAAATCTTAACTCGGCATTTTTTTTTTCACGCTAATGGAAAGTAGCGGTGGAAGCCAGCTGGGAAAGAATTCCAAAACAAGTGATGGTCGTGAAACAAAAGGTTAGTTGTATCTTTGTTTTCTTGTTCTTCCTTTTAGCCACTTCATCCTTGCTTCTCTTAATTACGGCTATTCATTTCGTAGCATTATGTCCAAAAGGGGAAAATGAAGATGCCAGAAAAGGTGTATATCATTTTACTAGTGTCATTTTGTTAATGTTTACTGATATTTAACCTGCCTATTGTCACACGGGTATTTTTACCATCCTTGAGAAGGTACCTAGAGGTACCGTATTTTCTAGTGTAAAATTTGGTACCTCTAGGTACTAGGTATCTCAAGGTATCAAAAATTTTAATGTAAAATTTAGGTATTTGAATGTACTTTCTAAAAAACTGTAAAATACCTTACTGTCACCCTTTGCATCTTGATGCTTTTTTTGGTTATGTCAATGGAGAGAACAAAAGGAAACGAGAAGTCAGAAAGAAACAAGGAATTTGCAATTTGAAAAATTCTAGTGGACATACAAATTGTAATATAAACCATAAAATTGTAACTTGAAACATATTTCAAGATGGTTTGGCTACTGGGCTATTTTGCTTACTCTGGTCACCATATTTTTTGTAAATTCGCAGAAGTTAATAGCACTGCGCAAAATTTTGTTCATTTCACAGAAGAAGAGGAAGATATTGTTTTCAGAATGCACAGGCTTGTCGGGAACAGGTATCCTAATACACATACCTGTAATGTGCATCAAGTGAAAATGAAGACACAGTGTCTTTTTAATCGATCTAGCTTATACTATGATTATTTCATAGTATGAAAGTTTATGAAATCCATAAGTCAGCCTGTTCCAGGCAAATACATTATTTGCAGTTCCCTAACTTTGCTCCTTCTATGATGTTTAGGTGGGAACTTATAGCTGGAAGAATACCGGGAAGGACAGCAGAAGAAGTAGAGAAGTTCTGGGCAATTAAACATCAAGCCACATGATAGCAGAAAGAGGATGTTTGCCCCAAAAGTAGCTTTTAATTTACCATGGAAATTCTCACAGAAATTTTCAAAGGATGTATCAGGAAATAAATGTCTCAACTCTCAACCAAGTTTATATACCAAAGTCTTATATGCCTGAAGCAAAAAGGGAGGACAACTTGAATAGAAAACTACTGATGTGTTTATTGCATGGATAACTATTATTCTTTCTAGCTATTAGAATTGAATCACAAGTTGTGCCCAGCAGATCTTCATGTCAGTGCTGGCCCACAAAAAAATTCCATTGCACAGTTGCATAACTATCAGTGCTGGCAATTGCACAGTTGCATAACTAAAATTCCATTGTACGGTGTACCAAATGTAAGTTTATTAATAAATATGCACATGATATGCGGTAGCACTATTCCGTGCTCTACAGCGCGGAATATTAGTTCAAACGCCGCACAACGCTCTCTCCTTCTGGTTTTCCCTTTTTTTACCAGCGCCGCACAGCTCTCTCCTTCCGGTTTACCCTTTTTTTACCACCCCACCTTTCCTCCGCTTCCCACCTTTTCTCGGTTCGTTTTTTTCGTTTTTTACCACTCCACCTTCCGTGTTTCTTTTTTCTCTTTTCCATCTCATCCGTGCTACATCAATGGGCCCGGTAAAATATTAACCATCCAGATTTTACTATTTTCCGTTTCTTCTTTGTAGTTTTTTTGTTTTCGCGTTTTAGTAAAATACATCTCATCCGTGCTACATCAATGGGCCCGGTAAAATATTAACCATCCAGATTTTACTATTTTCCGTTCCTTCTTTGTAGTTTTTTTGTTTTCGCGTTTTAGTAAAATACATCTCATCCGTGCTACATCAATGGGCCCGGTAAAATATTAACCATCTAGATTTTACTATTTTCCGTTCCTTCTTTGTAGTTTTTTTGTTTTCGCGTTTTAGTAAAATAATTACCGTCTAGTTTTTCTTTTCGAGTTTTCCATTTTTCTAGTATCTTCACACATTTCAAAAGTAACGAATTTATTCCATGGAGTTTTTCATTTACTCCCAGCCTCCCACAACTGCTGAATGCCTCCACATCTTATGACCACATACCTAAATGGTCGTAAAAGAATTACTACCAGCTTACAACGCTTGTCATTCTTTTACCAACATTATAAATATCATTTAAATTTCGTGGTCTGTGAGTAAAACAATTACTACCTTCCTCTCGATATAGCCATGATCTTGATCTCGTAGCTACCATGTAGTAATATGTTTACTGATGTGTTCAATACATAGTATAAGAGTAAAAACTGAGATTTCGTGGTCTGCGAGTAAAACAATTACCACATTCCTCTCAATATAGCCATGATCTCATAGCCACCGTGTAGTAATATGTTTACTGATGTGTTCAATATACAGTATGAGAGTAAAAACTGATACTAAGAGTATTGTTGATCTGTATCACAAAATAGTCGTATGAATGAAAAATTACAGGCTCAATCACACACAAGCAATAAAATTACTCACAGGTGAATCAAACTAGAAAAGAAAAAAAAATGATTCAGCCAAAAATCCATCTGGTGGCTTTGCTGGATCTTGCTATAAGGATGAAGAGCATGGTCTATCTCTTGTGACTAGTAGCGGAGAGGGCAACCGGGTGGCGAGCAGTAGTCGACGATGGAATCATGGAAGGATGTAGCAGTGTGGTATAGAGATGAGCTCGACGTTGCGCAGTAGCAACCATCCATCATCTAGCAAGCACGAAAAAAATACAAAAAAACATTCTCATTCATGTCAATAGAGATGACGAGGAAAAGAAAAATAGCAGACAACCTCCATCACCGGCGGACTCCACACTATCCTCTGCGGCCAGCCACATGGAGCACGATGTGCAAACGTAGGACCGGTGCAGCCCATCAATTGAGATCAGGTAATATTGAAGGTTGCACGTTAATTTGATTTGCAAAAAAAAATGGAGCTTCATGCGTGAAGTTGAAGGAGAGTATGCAGATGCAAATCAGAGTGTCATTTTCTTACTTTCTTGTTCTATCAATGTCGCCGACGTGGAGCAGCCGCTGGTTGTTGCTATTGGCCTAGGTGAACACCTCCTTGCTGGTTAAGGTGCTGCCCAGCGTCCGGCAGCGAGGCCCAAAGCAGTGCCTTCACCTCAACCGTCGCTGGCCACCGCTCGTCGGCCACCGCCATCAACCGCCACGGTGTCGTCGTCCTCCTCCATGGTGTGTCGCTGATATGTGGGCTGGTATGGTGGATCGATTTAGAACCCAAAAAAAAGGAAAAAATAAAGTGGGGGCGAGAGTAGTTGGTTGGGTATAGGAAAAGTAGAATATATACCGGAAGCAGAGAAGTTATTTTTATCGAAGTAAATCATTTACTCCGATAATTGTGGGAGCACGATGCGGGATGTGGGGTGTGATCGGAAGCAGGGGAGTTGTTTTTATTATCGAAGTAAATTGTTTACTCGAATAAAGGTTGGTGGTTGATGCGCGCGATAGGAATAAATAGTTTACTCTGACGACGGTAGGAGTGGGATGACGGGACATGGGTTAGGTGGGCCTGGGCTGATGCATGTTTGGCGCTTGGAAAGTTCTACATAATATTATGATGTGAAAACACAAACATATCATGATGTTTATCTCAATATGTGTCACTAGTCAAGTGAAATTCAATCACCATGGCGTAAAGAAAACGTGGGTGAATTTCTGTTTCGCTTGGTTACACGAAACGGTTATTTCTCCATTTCAACTGTTAGGGAGGGAAAGATAAGGCATATGCATGTATCTTTTGACAGGAGAAAACTGTTCCCTTAAAAATTGATGCCAAGGAATATCGTGTGAGAATGCCCATGAGAAGCAGAGCCCTTACGTGCGAGAAGAATTTGTAATAGAGTTTTTGAATAATACTGTGTTATTCAACTCAAAGGTGCCCTGAGTTCATATAATCTTGTCACAAGAGAAAAAAAATAGTCAGTCAACTGCAGCAGATCTGGTCCCAAGTCATGATCATTGAACTCTTTCATCGGAGCTGGGATAACATAAAGTTAATCTCAACTGGTTATGTGTATTTAACTGGCCAAATGAGAGGCCTTCCCCCAGATGCCTAACATTTTTTTTTGTGCCGGGCAGATGCTTAACAAATTGAACTGCATGTAGCATACAACAAAGTATCAGGCGAAGTATTATAAGATGTCCCCGCAAAACAAGTATTATAGTGCCACAATTCCACTGCTCTACCCAAGTTTATTCTACAACACATAGTCTGCAATAAATCACTATTAACACGGGCTATACAAGCATCGTTTGTTCATGCTTCAACTTCGAAAGCACCGCTGTTTGTCAGTCTAGCGGTGGTCGGTCATACTTAGCGGCGGCCGATTCGATGTTAGACTTCTCCTGGTTTTGTGTGTTAGCGCTGTCAGTGTGTGGGTGGTAGTATATTTTTTTCTTTTTTTCCTGATTACGACTCTCTATGGTTGTAATCTTATAATTTTTTCCTACTCTATTAATAAAATTTCACACCGTCTCGTGCGAGTAGTTAAAAAAAAGAAAGTACCGCCATTAAACTCTCGCGGAAGCAAACCAAACATGCTAAAAAGAAAAAGGAAACCAGAAATGTCACACCAGCGGGGGGGTCACCTAGGAAATGCCGCGAGGACGATGTCTCCGGTGACGGGTCGCGGCGCCTCCGGCGACCTCGTCCCCGGTAGTATTTTCTCCGGCGGCGGCGGCGGTCTGGTGACTGGTGGTGGAGGAGGAGGAGACTGCGAGACCGACGTTACGAACGTTTTAGGTGGGCCCCACGGTTTCTCCCGCGACGCGGCCCTGCATGAGCCGTTGGATCGCCGCCACGTGATCGCTTCCCCCCCGGGCCCCTCCGGGCCGAACCCTGCAAGAGAAGGCCCACTCAAGTTAGTCAGAAATAGCTGGGCCTAACGGGCCCACGGCTCAGTTCGTTTCTCTCACCTCATCCTCAACCCAAACCTTCGAGGAACAAGAGGCCCCCTGGCACGAAACCCTAGGCCTCAGATTTGACCCGCACCGATACGGACAGAGGAGAGAGAAATCGAAGCCGTCTTCCTCCGCTCCGGCATCTCGCCTCTTCCCATCGCCGCCACCGCCGGCGGTCGCAGACTCGCAGCTCTCGCAAAGGTGAGGTTCCTTCGTTTCGTCGTCATCGCGCGGTATTGTCCTGCGTTTGCCGATTTTTTGCTGACGTGATGGTGTGGCGTGGCGTGGGTGGGGCAAGATTGACGGGCGAGGAAGCGAGGAGGCGTATCTTGGGTGGGTGCGGGGATGGCTTCCGGGCAGCCGCAGTTCAGGTACACGCAGCCGCCGTCGAAGGTGATCCACCTGAGGAACCTGCCGTGGGACTGCACGGAGGAGGAGCTGGTCGAGCTCGGGAGCCCCTTCGGCAAGGTCGTCAACACGAAATGCAACGTCGGCGCCAACCGGAACCAGGCCTTCGTCGAATTCGTGAGTATCCGTCTCCTTTCTGTATTTGTGGATTGCAAAAACGATTTGTCACATGTATAAAATTATTAATCGGTGGTTTTGGAGTTAGGCTTTTTTAGCTTACGTGTCGTCGGGTCTAGGGTGTGGAGCTATGAACACGTGACTTTTAGCTAATAATTTGTTTAGGAAGGGATGCTATTTTGGCTGGTTTATGCCCATTTAAATCAGCTGAGTGGCTGTGGTTCAAACTACTCTAGGCTCGAGTCTATTCATGGATTTTGTGGATGTATGTATGGTATGATGTGGTTTCTGCGTCCGGATGTTGAGGATTTGAATATGTTTTCATCTGAAGTTAGTCATAATTTCTGTTTCTTCAAGATTCTTGCACGATAATTTGAAACCAGTGGAGAAATTTACAAGTTATTAGCTCATATTTAATGTCTTGAAACCATATATGGTTATTTGGAGGTTTAGTGAGGAGATCATTGGATGGAAGTTGTGGGAAAGAATTTGTCTTGAAAAAAAGTACTAATTGCTGAACACTTCTTTTACTTCTTGCTCTGTTGCAGGCTGACCAAAATCAGGCAATTGCTATGATATCATATTTTGCATCATCAGCTGAGCCTGCACAGGTAAGAGGGAAAAATGTGTACCTTCAGTACTCCAATAGACAAGAGATTGTCAACAGCAAGAGTTCAGGGGAAGCTGCAGGCAATGTTTTGCTAGTGTCGATGGAAGGTGTTCTGCCAGATGCTGTGAGCATCGATGTTCTACACCTGGTAAGGAAAATAAGAATTACAGTGGGGTTTATTCTTTTAATTTTGTTCAGTTCATGTTTGTATGCAGGAATATATTTATTTACCAGGACTGTGTTAGTAACTTGTAGTCCATTTTTTCGCATCTGAATGGATTAGCAGGCCATTGTCACGGAGTTTCATGGCATCCTGGCAGGCTACTGCATCCGGAACACATGTGTGTGTTTGTTTCCTCTCCCTTACTCATTGCCTGCCCTATCCATTCCCTTTCTTCCCTCCCTCCCTCCCTCTCTCCCTTCACCCCAACTATCCCTCCCTCACTCGTGTCCGTTATCCATGGCATCATGGTTGGTTAAGTAATAACTAGTGGCATAAAAAGTGGTTTTTCTCTTGTGCTCAAAGGAGAGTACTTGAGCCCTAAGTGCTGCAATTATCAGACTAAAATTTCATTGCTGGATTACTGGAGTTATGTCTGCGTTAACCATTTGAGATACAATATATTGACATGATGCATCCAAGGTAGTTAGGACACCATGCTTACTGAAATAAGGAAAAATATGTCCTGTTTATTTAGTATGAGCATCTCAGGAAAGCCATCTGGAACAAACACAAAGAAGGAAAGCCATCTGGAACAAACACAAAGATATGGGCTTGTGTTTTCCTGTTGAATGACTGCCAACAATTAACTTCATGTGTTCTCCTTTTATTTTGTTGAGTTACCAAAGGCACAAGGTGCTAGATGGGCAGCACATCAGTGCGTCAATACCTAATCACTGAATAGGCTTCCCTTGGTGGGGATAAATTTACAAGCTGGGCAGAGGGTAGAGGGTGCCACCTATTGCGTAGGCGGAAGCCTCAAAAGACTGGATTTAAATATGGCAATAGCCATATGACAATAAAGACGTCAAACTCATACTGGTATCATACTTTTCATAAGAAAACTCAAAATATGACCTGTTTTATTTTATACCACCAAAATTTTCAAGTTCACTTTGATACCTTCCCAGTAGTCTTTTATTTACCCGATTTAGCACCACCAAGTTATTCTGTTTCCTTTTAGCAATTTTATGTTTTTTGTGGTTGAGAAATAGAGTTGTGAATACCTAAAAACTAGCCCTTTCTTCCTTCTTCTCTTCCTTTCCATTCATGTCCTACTCAACCAGCAGCACCTCAATGCCTTTGTTCTGCGCTTCTGGCTTGTCTCCGATGATGTTACAGTGCTATTAAAACATGTTGGCAGTGGTAAATTGGGGAATGGAAGGTCGGTTGGGTGGGTGGTAACTAAACGAACTGTAATTTTTTTGTGGTATAAGACTAAACAGGTTGCATTTTGGTGCTATAAAACCAACTTTTCCTACTTTTTATGGGACAGATCAATAACAGTAAAATAAGCATAACTGAAGTCCGATTATAGAAAAAAAAAGGTGATAAAATAAGTCAAACAGTTAATCTCTCATATTGTGATCATACTTTTTACGGAACTGTTGTTCAATAAGGACGAAATAAACATCACTGGAGTCCATTAACTGTTTGTTTTCTTATGTTGCTTTAGTTCCACACCCATAAACTTCCTTTGCCACGTTGGGTGTAAATGTTGGCTTGTTTGTATGCTTCTTTGCTATCTTTATGCTCTGTAGTGTTGAGGATTGCCAAACCTATATTATATTCTGTTATAATGAGCTTCTGGGGTCAAACATATGGATGATCTGTTTATATAGAATGTCAACATTTTTACTCTATTACTGCTGCATAGATATACCTAAAGATGTGACTCCTTCCTTTCATAGGTCATCTAGCAAATACTAGAAAATGCTTAGTGTTGACTCTGTAGCCTGTAACATGATAAACTTCTTCTTTTTTACTGACATAGTAAAAGCTTATATTGCTACAATTTGTATTTATGCCTGGAGACATGATAAGTTCATTTCCACTGTCTAGTAATTTTAGAAGGCCTCTATTTGATTCAATGATTTCTGCACTCAGATGTAGTTAACCTTCATTTGTTCACGATCCATTTTTTCTTATCAATTTGCTTGTCATATTCACAACAGAATTCGTGTGTGCAGGTATTTTCTGCTTTTGGCTTTGTTCAAAAGATTGCCACCTTTGAGAAGGCATCTGGTTATCAGGTAACGGTTTTACTTTTACTAGAGTATTTTGGTAACATGTCTTATCTGGTCGCTGTCCTGGTTGATTTTATCTGAGTTATGTTTCCCTGGCTTGTAGGCATTGATACAGTTCTGTGATACTGAAACTGCATCATCTGCCAAAGCTGCTCTGGATGGTAGATGCATTCCTAGGTATTTTGCAAGACACTCGTATTTCTGGTGTACTCCTTTTTACACGCTAATGGATAATTTACTTTGCTTACCTTGCAGCTATTTGCTTCCAGAACTTGATGTGCCTTGCACTTTGAGAATAAATTATTCAGCACATACTGTTCTAAATGTCAAGTTTCAAAGTCACAGGAGTAGGTAAAAACTGCCCTCTTGTTAATCTGTATTACTTTGTTTGTTATGCTGTTTTATGGACGATTTATATGTTCTACATGTCTATTTATTCCTTTTTGAACATGGGCAAAAATATGAAACTCAAGTTTCGCCATTTCACCATTTGTGCCCTTAAGAAAGATTTCCCACTTATATTTGGCTACTCTTTCTTTCAGAGACTACACTAATCCGTACCTTCCGGTTGCTCCTTCTGCTATAGATGGATCTGGACCGGTAACACCTCTAGCCTTTCCGCGTTTTGTTTATATTTTTGTTCTTATGGCTAATTTTATTTTGGTTTTGTGCAGGATGGGAAGAAGCAGGAAGCAGAGAGCAACGTTCTGCTTGCATCTGTTGAGAACATGCAGTATGTTGTTACAATAGATGTGCTTCACGAGGTAATGTGTTTCACACTGATGTTATAGATCATCTTGTGCACATAGCTTGGACTTATCTTTTGACTCCTGTAATTGCAGGTCTTTTCTGCTTTTGGTTTTGTGCAAAAGATTGCTATCTTTGAGAAGAACTCTGGCTTCCAGGCATTAATCCAGTATCCAGGTAAGTTGCAGCTACACTGAAGTCAAACTTTTGCTGCCTGAGTTGTCCCTCAAAGCCTTTTATGCTTCTCTTGTAGATATTCAAACCGCAGTTGCAGCAAAAGAAGCATTAGAAGGGCACAGCATCTATGAAGGTGGATATTGCAAGCTTCATCTCACATTTTCGCGCCATACCGATCTTAATGTTAAGGTAATTGCTATAGTCAGTGTGTAAGCATACTAAACATTACAGCATTCAGAAGTTTCAGAATTTACAAATAATACATGCTCCGTTTGTGGTGGATGACATGATCAAGTGATCTGCTTTCAGGTTAACAATGAGCGTGGTAGAGATTACACTGGAGGGAACACTGCACCGACCAGCAATCAACCTTCCATTCTTGGTCCTCAACCAGTATATTCCGGTGCTTACAACAACGCTCCTTCGTCAGCGACTGGTGCAGTAGTGCCACCAGGGACTACTCTCACTCCACCTGGAGCACCATCTCATCCTTACACATCCAGCGAGCCGCTTCCGCAAACTCCTGCCGTTCCCTCTGGTGGAGCTCCGCTGTACACTAGCCAGGGAATTCTTCAAGGCCCCCCTGGTGTTCCTCCTGCACAATTTCCAGGCTATGGATCTCCACAGTTTCCCCCAGGCTCAGCTCAAGCTCAAATGCATCAACAACATCCAGTCCAGGGAAGCCAGCAGATGCCTGGCCAAATGAACCATCAACCACCTCCAGGATCGTTCATGCAGTACCCTGGCGACGGAGGCCGTCCAGTTCAAGACGCACCTGGGCAACAAGCAATGCCGTTCCATGGCCATGGAGGAGGGCAGCATCTACCTCCAGGCTATGGAGGCCAGCCGCAGTTTCAGCAAGGTCCAAGGCCACCTATGCCGCCGCAGCAGTTTCCGATGTACGGCGACCAGCAGTTTCCTCCTGGTACGGGGCCCCAGATGATGATGCCCTTTGCTGGGCAGGGAGGAGGCCAGCAGCACCCGTTTCGCCCTTATAACAGCCATTAGCTGCTCTGTTGATTCAGTCTTACGTTACATGTCATATACGATGCATGTACTTTTGCCTCTCTGCCGCCATTTTGTTGTGAGGTATGGCACAGTAGTTGATGCTGTGGAATCGTTTGGTGGAGAGATGTGGTAGAAACTACTAGTTTAACAATCCAGAATTTCTCTGATTAATGATGAGTTGCTGAGCACTGTCATCTTTCTTCGAATTGCAAGGGAAAAAAAACATGTTTAGGCCATAGGGTGGGCTATAATACTACGGGCCTGTTCACTTTGATGCCAAAAAAAACCTTTTGGCATAGTTGTCTAAATTTTGGCAACTTGCCCAAATTTTAGTAGGATTTTTTATATAGTTACTAAAATTTGGCAGCAAACTAAATGTAGCCACTTTTTTTTGACAATTTTACCAAAATTTGGTAAGGTTAAAAATGGCATCAAAGTGAACAGGCCCTACATCTTCCTAAGGGCCTGTTCACTTTGACGCCAAAAAAGACCTTACCAAATTTTGGCAATCTTTTGGCAAAGTTGCCAAAATTTTGGTAACTTGTCAAAATTTTAGCAGGATTTCTTATATAGTTACCAAAATTTGGTAGCAAACTAAATGTAGCCACTTTTTTGGTAACTTTACCAAAATTTGGTAATTTTGAAAATGGCATCAAAGTAAACAGGCTCTAAATTCTACTCTCATTTTTTGTCTGCAAAATTTTTAAATTGCTAAATAGTAGTATTTTTAAAAAAAGAAATTACAAAGACGTTACTTTAAAAATTATGTTAGAGTGAATGCATATTGGGCCATATAAATTTGCCAGAGTTTTAGATTAGACAAGCCCTAATACAAAGTTTTCACTTTAGACCATACAACTTTACCATTCTTTTCACTTTGGACCACCTGTCCACCATCTCCAACTCTGACGACCTGTTGCCATGTGCGCCATCACTGTGAGGATGCCAAGGTGCGGTGAGGGCTTCCACACGATTGTTGCTAGCCTCTATCCACACATCTCCTCCCTTTCTACTGTACAATTGAGCTGCCATCAAGTATTGGTGGCTTCCTCAAAATTGATCAACAGAAGCCTATAACTGGTCGACACATGAGCTGCAGCCGTTCTTCACCTGCTCTGGCCGATTAACTCAAGCTCAGCTGAAGGCCGAAGCTCCATCTCTAGGCGAATTGGCCCGATGCACGTGCTCGCAACCTCGCACTCGATCGTACCTCCGCTCAGTTCTAGCCCAGTGTGGTGGCATTTGAGCGTGCCACGCTCTCCTTCCTAGCTCCCCTCTCTCTCTCTATCTTGGATGCATTGCTGGAGTGGTGAATGCCTGAAAAAGCAACGGCTCACCGCTTGCATAGTGTGGTAGTGGTGGGAGTCGGCTAGAAGATGGGAAAGAAGAGACTGACAGATTGACCGAATTATGGCCCAATGTATAACTAGATGGTAACAAATCCTTGCCTAAAGTGAAAATGTTGTGTATGGCCTGGTCCAAGATGAAAATTAGGCAATAATATTTGGCCCATGATGCAATTCACTCATTATGTTAATATATTCTTCTATAGCTAAATTAGTTATACGTTAATAAACTATTCTGTTTTACGTGTGCTTGATAGAAGTTAAACTTCTCTCCCGAGTCCCGAACACACTTTTTCCGGAGAATTACTCATATACTCTGACGAATGATTAAATGTTTAGCATATCTTTGATGGGCGTTACCAACATAACACGCTCATTGCCTCATCGATAGAAAAAAACCGCCTTGATAATTATAGAACAACTTGGCCCCTGAACATGCACGCTTGACAGTTTCAGTTCACAGCGAATTTGTACAGAAGCTCATCCCGGACGTGCTGGTCAGCTCCGTGCACGGCGACGGCTGCACGTCGAGCGCCGCCCCGCTGACGGCCTCGCACTTCCACGGCCGGACCGCCGCGCCGCCGTTGAGCTTCACGTTGGACAGGCAGATCCTGGAGAAGGCCGACGTCGCGATCCCCTTGATCGACCCTGCCTCCCTGATGTTCTGGCCCTGGACGTTCTTGATCGTCAGGCCGTCCACGACGGGGAGCGCGTTCCGGTCGTAGCGGTCGTCGGGGTGCCCGCCGACATCGCCGGCGATCCTCAGGCCGTAGCGGACGGAGTCCAGCGTCACGTCGGAGACGGTGACGTTCCGGATGAACCCTCCCCTGCCGGTGTTGGTCTTGATGTGGATGCCGAACCCCGAGCTGAAGAAGTTGAGGTGCTCCGCGAGGACGTGCTCCACGCCGCCGGACGTCTCGCTCCCGACAGCGAAGCCGGCGAAGGGGGAGGAGCCGGTGATCCGGCGGATGGTGATGTGCGAGCTGGGGCGCCCGTAGGCCATGCCGTACTCGTCCCAGCCACTCTTGATGGCGATCAGATCATCTCCTGTCGAGATGTAGCAGTCCTCGATGCAGACGTTGCTGCTGGAATCTGCATAATTCAGAGCTTAGTTCTAGATTCAAGATCGAACGGCATTTGTTTTTATCTTCTTGAACATACATTCAGAACAAAATTTTGGTGAGGAAACGAGGAAAAGAATAAAATTTACCTGGATCAATTCCATCAGTGTTGGGTGAGTCATGTGGAGCTAGTACGGTCACATTTCTTATCACCACATTGCTGCACACACACACAAGAGATGATCCGGACATTTATTTCTCAGCTGGAACATCCATAAATACACATTTTTTGGACCACAGGTTTATTACTACTATAGTTACAAACTACTAAAACACAATACTACATGAATGTACTGATATCGTTTGGTCATGTATAGCAACTTCTGTACTTTGGTTGTGGTTCACTAGTCACCAGAACCAATCAATGCAGTACTATTATGTGTTTATCACAAGGCAGGTATCCAGACTGGAGTTAATATAAAGTCTATGATGGTGCAAATGGAGGCAGTACATAAATGAACTGTTATCCTGCTATACGTTTGCAGTACCCTTTAAGCAAGTTTATGAGGTAAAAAAAAGCTAAGCAGTCGTACTGTAAGATAAACGTGAAACATTTAATTGTGATTGATGTGTGTCATATGACAGAAGCTGGAGATGTAATCCACTTCCATTATCTAAAAATTTAATTGTGATTGTTTTGCAAGTGTTCTTCCTCTCTTTGAACTCCTAGGAAGCAAACATAGGATTGTGATATATGTGATCTAATCTAAGAAAGCAACATGTTCTCCTCACCTGCAGTAAACAGGATGGATGTTCCAAAACGGCGAATCCTGGAAGACCACATTGGAGACGACAACATCAGAAGAGTTCATCAGCTCGAGTAAGTGAGGCCTAGTGAAGGGTAGTGTGCCCTTCTTCCACATGTCCCACCACGCACTGCCTTGGCCATCGATAGTTCCATTATCGCCTGCACAAATAAAAGCAATTTCCATGAATCTCTTAACTAGCAGACCATCACATGATGGACTGAGAAATACCCCTCCCTAAAAACAGTAAACATCCTGTGATGGAATTTATGAATAGAAATGCCAAGAGCCCAAGAGTGTTGGAGCATGAAGAGTAGTAATGACCTGTAATGACAACATCCTGAAGGCCATTGCCATGGATCAAACTCATGTATCTTCCACCGGGAAGCTCACGCCCTCTCCCATATGACGGCAATGGTTCGATCAGCGGCCAGCTTGACGTATCCTGCTCCAAATGCACACAGATTATTGCAAAGAAGAACAGATAAACCCAACCAGAGCTCAACACTATCAGTCGACAAAGATTCAATCTTTGTTTGCAGATGTACAGAACAAGAAGTACAGCAACACATCACCAACAAATCAGAAACCACCATGAGTAGAATCCACAAAGATGGCTTGTTTCAAGTGTTTCACTTGGATTCTCAATCCACTGCAACACTAGACTAGAGATCTCTCTTTCTGATGGCAGCAAATCAAACAAGGACACAAAAGACGAAGAACAATGTCTGCAGCCACCTTGAGTTGAGCAGAGGAGAACTAGGCTATAATGGTGATAGGTTTCTTGGGCATTGAAGGGATCCATAGCTCATGGGGTTTGCTGACCTGGGTGGCGCGGATGACGGCGCCGCGCGCGAGGAAGAGCGTCATGTGGGAGGTGAGGTTGAAGGGGCCCGTGAGCCACACCCCGGGCGGCACGTACAGCAGCGCCCCGCCCGGCGCGCGCCGCCGCTCGATGCTCGCCACGGCGGCCTGGAACGCCGCCGTGCTCAGCGTCCGCCCGTCGCCGCCGCCGCCGCCGAAGCTGGCCAGCGACATCCACGCCCCGCGCCGCGGCGCCGCCGGCACCATGTCCGAGCACGTCTCCTGCGCCCCGGCACCGACGACGACCGCCGCCGCCGCCGCCACCGCCAGCAGCAGCCACCACCGCTGCCTCCCCATAACCCCACACTCCTTCTAGAAGGTTCTAGAACCCCGGAAGAAGCTTCGCCAGCTGCGACAAAAGAATCGATGTGAATACCAGCCGCCAAGAAAGGAGCGAACAATCCATCCGGAAAAGTTGCCCGCGAGCTCCGTTGCGGATGGATTTACGTGAGATTACCGTTGCTAACGAAGCGAAAGCCCCCCGTGATTAGTTTGGTCCGGAAGCCAAGCCAAGGAGAAGAGTACAACGGAGAGAAAGATCTACAGCTCGATCCTCCTCCTCCTCCCAAGTGTTCTCTTCTCTGTGGAAGCTTGCAGGCTACAGCTCCATGGATGGATTGGGTTGGCTACTTGGCTTTCGATGGTGTTTGGCTTTTGGCTTTTGTGCTAAGCTCGGAGAGAGAGAGAGAGAGAGAGAGAGAGAGAGATTAGTGGGGGAGCGCGTGGGGAAAGCAGCGCAGGCTTGCTTGCTTGCTTGTGCTGTTGTGCACTGGCACACTGCGAGTGTGTGTGCAGTGCAGTGTTAAGCTGAGCTGCCGATGATGAGTGGGGATGACCGAGTGAGTGACCGACAGGCGTGTTGCTTTCGACTTTCAAGGGGCATGTTCCATGTTTGGCCCGGCGCGCGGCGCGGTGGGCCGTGGGTCGCGCCTCGCGTGCGTGCGGGCGCGCGCGTACGTCTGTTTTGGTGGGGGGACCAGATGGAGTAGCAGCGTGGCGTGTGGTGCGGTGCGGTGCGGTGGAGGAGACGGTATTTCGGTTATCTGGCTGTGTGCTGCTATAAATGGAGAGTTTACGCCTTCACGGCAATATTTTGGCTGCAGGTACCATTGCAATGGCGAAGATTCGC